GTGGCAGAAGAATATGAATTAATTGTCCAGTGAGATTGAAGTACAACAGATTGCTGGCGAAGTATACAGTACAGATAGTAATGATGTAGGTGATGTACAGGTACATGTAAATGAACTGGGTATGCATAGATCATCTTCAAGTGCAAATAGTAAGAGTAAAACCTTGAATGGCGATGTAAACACATCAACAGTTGAGTACAAAGATGATGAAACCTTAAAAAACTCTCTCCAGTTTGGCAGAACGGTCTCAATCAACTTGCAACACAGTGATGAGAGTTTGCAAGGCATTAGGGACAGGCTAGTTCCTATGAGTGAGGTGGACAAACACAGGGTGTGCTTTTATGATGGGGATGGATTGATCATGCGCAAATGGGAGAGGAAATCTGATCCAAGTGATATTGTGCATCAGATAGTGCTTCCCCACAAGTGTAGGCTAGAAGTACTTCAGCTGGCACATGATGCTATTCTAGCAGGCAATTTGGGGGTATCCAAAACCAAAGATAGGGTACTCTCACATTTTTACTGGCCAGGTATATTCAAACAAGTTGCCGACTACTGTCACAGCTGTCAAGTTTGCCAATTCACTGACGAGACAAAAAGTCCTTGTAAACACCCACTGTGCAATCTGCCTATCATTCAGAATCTATTCAAGATGACAGGAACTGACATTGTGGGTCCTTTCCCAAGATCCATAAAAAGGAATGGGTACCTGTTGACAATTTCAGATTATGCGACACGATATCCCGAGGCTATCCCTTTACCAAATATTCGCGCTGACACAGTAGCAAATGCCCTGATCCAAGTATTTTCAAGAGTGGGATTGCCAAAGGCAATTGTGCATGACCAAGGTACAAACTTCATGTCTCAGATCATGAAAAATATGTGCAAGAGTCTAGGGATACGACAAATCCCCACAACACCGTACCATCCACAAATCAATGGTTTGACTGAACGCTTTCATGGTACGTTAAAGAACATGATCAAAACCCTAGATGACAAACAAATGAAAAGACGGGATGAATACATTCCCCCTTTTCTGCTTGCATACAGAGAAGTACCTAGTCAGGCTACTGGGTACTCCCCATTTGAGTTGTTATATGGGAGAAAAGTGAGGGGTCCATTGACTTTGATTACAGAGCAGTGGACAACAGATGATGACCCATCCACAGATGTAGTTCAGTACAAGCACAAGATGAACAAGTTGATGGCCAAAGCCACAGAAAATGTTTAAAAAAAAAGTCGAAGTAAAATGAAGGAATAATATGACAAGAATGCTTCCCCAAGGATATTTTAACCGGGGGATAAAGTGCTATTCTTCCTACCGATGGGAAAATCCAAGCTTGAGAGCAAATGGCAGGGTCCATTCATGATTTTGAGGAGAGTTAATGAGACAAATTACAAAGTCAAACTGCCTAACAAACGCAAGTTTGAACGAATCATCCATGTAAATATGATGAAGCTGTGATAAAGATCATGAGAAACGAATTTTTCTTTGTTCGTAACAATGATGTAATCCAGCAAAAGGATGATATAGACGGAAGTATGGATATAGGGTTGAGTTACTATCAAACCCAGACATGGCAAGATGTGTCTATTGCTGATTCATTGACACCTACCCAAAGAGAAGAAGTGTTATCTTTACTTAAGTCGTAAAGGGCCACACCCGACAAGACACAGAGTGTATCATACTCCATATGCACTCAAAGATAAAGTTCAAAATGAACTTCAGAGTATGCTAGATATGGGAATAATTGAACCAATTTCTAGTTCTTACGCATCACCAATTATTGCTTTACGAAAAACTGATAAGCAGATTCGAGTAGTCACAGATTTTAGGTCGCTGAACAAAGTTACGGAATTTGATCCTTATGAAATGCCTAGAATTGACGAAATTCTGGAGGATGTAACGAGTGCAAAATTCATATCTACTATCAACTTGACAAAGGCCTTCTATCAGGTTCCATTGGATGAAAAGCAAAAGAGAAATCATCCTTTGTGACACCTTTTGGTCAATTTTGTCACAATGTGTTGCCATTTGGTATGCAGAACGGTAGTAGTACATTTCAAAGATTGATGGATACAGTTCTTGCTGGTTGCAAAGGCATACATCAATGACATCAGTGTTTACAATCACACATGGAAGGAGCATATGTTCCATTTAAGAGAAGTGTTGCGCAGATTAGCAGAAGCAGGCTTAACAGCTATACCACTCAAATGTAAAATGGCTTGTCCAAAGGTTTTATCTTTGGGTCATATCATTGGTGGTGGTGTCATACAGCCACTAACAAATAAGATAGAAGCAGTAGTAAATTTTCCCAGGCCTGCGACCAAAACACAGGTCAGAGCATTTCTGGGCCTATCAGAGTACTACAGGAAATTTGTACCACACTATGCTACACTAGCAGTTCCATTGGTGGAACTCACCAAAAAGAGTGCCCCCAACACAATTGAGTGGAACAACAGATGTGAGCGAGATTTTGTTACCTTGAAAGAAAAGTTAACAAACCCGCCAGTCTTACATGCACCAGATTTCTCCAAGAGGTTCATTCTACATACAGATGCCTCTAATTTTGGACTTGGTGCTGTTCTCGCTCAACAAGATGAGGATGGCGATGAACATCCAATTGCGTATCTCAGTAGAATGATGCTGGCACGTGAACAAAAATACTCTGTGCATGAAGAGGAATGTCTGGCTGTTATCTGGGCCATTACCAAATTCAAGAACTATCTCTATAGTCGTGTGGTCATCGTGCTTCCTGATCACAGAGCTTTGCAATGGCTAGACAAGAGCAAAACTAGTAACAATCAGTTACTAAGATTGGCCATGATGCTACAGGAATATTCCTTTACGGTCCATAACAGAAAAGGAAGTGCCAATGCAAATGCTGATGGCCTTAGCAGGGCATAAAAACTGCCGTGAAAAGATTTAGTTTACAAATTACTTACAAGGACTGCACAGAAAAAGTAGCAAATTTCTGTGTGTATACTATTTTCTCGTAAACTGCATTTTCAGAATTAAGTTTGTTTACTATAGCTTTAGAAAACCTGCGATAATAATAACTTTTTTCTGTAATTTTATGTTTTTACGCTGTGTCACTCCATTTTTTTATCTTTGATTAAGGGATGAACATGTATATGTATCTCATATTTGTCAGAGTGAGTGACAAACAATTTTCAAGTTCTCATATATTTTGTATTTGCATTTGCCCACATCCCACAGCACCTTCGAGCATATGGAGGAGATGGCTGCAAGGATTGCCTAGAACCCTTAGGGAACATTTCATAATTACAGAAGGCGGTATTTACTGCGGTACTGCTATATTTATGCGGTACCAGCATTAAGCTCTTTTGGGTAACTAGTGCGGTGCCGCTAAAAAAAACAGCGGTACCGCAGTAAATACCGCCTTCAACAATTATGAAACGCTCCCTTACAGATGTGATAAACATTTTGAAACTGACTTTTGGACAATGAATATGTTTTTAGCTGTTCATGATTTTCCTGATTGTAACATCTGGATAGATGGTTTATGAATGAATACACTTTAATGTCGGCAAGACTGACACAGTCTTTTTTACGGGAGGGGGCGTGTCATGAAGCAATTCTGAGTAAAGAACCACAAGTATGTAGGGGAAGGTCGTGGTCAATTAAGGCGGAAACTGGGCTCATGAGAAGGTTGTAAAAATGAAATCTAAGGGACTGGAAGTGGTCGGGCTGACCACACTATATCCTGGACTGACCACACTAACCTTCTGGAAGTGCACAGATATTTTCTTAGAAATTAGATGGGAATAAGATGGGTTATAAAGAGGAGGAGAGAGAGGGGAAGAGGATCTTCGAGATTTTGACTCACTATGTATCACATCTGCTAGCACTACTGTAAAAATAAATAAGTAAACATGTAGATTAGCAGAAGAGCATGACCGTGTGAGTATGTCAGAAGTACACCGGTTTCGTCATCAAGAAGATGAAACTACATTACAGACGGCATTAAAAAAAATCATGCTTCAGTATCAGTTTCCTTCGCCGCGGTTGCTAAGAAGTGTCAAGTAACAAGTCCAGTGCGCGCGTGGCCAGTATGAGTACATCAATACCAGTAACCCCTCTAGCGCTACACGCATGCACTCCGTCCATTTTGGTGATCACCCTATTGAACGTAGTATGGTTCCCTGCCCAAAGATTCCCAGACGATTATTGATAATGATTCATTGGGTAGTCAGAATCATCGGGTCTGGTATCCAGACTATATTGAACGAATTTAACCAATGTGCATGTGTGGATGAGTGTATGTTTTCTGTACCGTAACTGTATCACATACATGTACTATGACATGTACGTACGCGTACTGCACTATCGAGTCACGATGTGATATGCAACTTTGCAAGTGGCTTGCCGTCCTTGCTTCGTCCTGAGGGGTACATGATCAATTATTGAATTTGCAGGATAATAATCGAGAACGAATTTGCTGGAATCAAACATGGAGGTAGAAATAAAGCAGGGTAAATCAAAGCCATTAAATTAGTGCTAGGAATCATATAAATGTACATAGGCAATACATGTGTACGTGTAAGTCGGCAAAATGACAATTTACAGCACAAGCCAACATTCGCGTAAGTCATCATAATTTCTTGAGTCCCGAGAGTGCCAACTTAGAGTTTACTGTATAAAGTTGTGGACAAAAGTGTGATAAGAAAAATTCATTGCAGCTACACTTTTATATTGTTAGATACATGTACATGTACATATATTTTGAAAAAATGAACAAAAATGAAAATATGGTAGGAGGTAGAAAAAACATGAATTGCATTTGCAGTATAAATATCATTAATACATTTACTTCTCTTTTATTAATTACCCTTTAGCTTATAATTTGGCTACAATTTTATGCTTACAAAGGAGACAAATGAAAATATTCTTCTTCTTTTGATTCGAAGTAGCAAATACAGGCACACAACTGTACTAATTCTAATGCCTTCTAATGTAGAACTACACCGGTGCTTACTAGCAAAACTATAGGAGAATTCCTCGTCACTGTCATAATCTAGCCGGGAGTAGGTGCAGGTAGGCGAGTCCTCCCTTGATGGGTAACCAACCTATGGAGAATAACAAGAATAGAATATAAAGAAAAAAGAGAACTGTTGTCTATTGAGGCATGGGACATGGCATTTTTTTCACCTTTGAAGGCAGACAAGGGTGCCTTGCCACCTCGAATGCTTCCCTATGCCAAATATTTCAACATCAAAAGGTGTATTATTTTGTATTCTACAAAAAAAGAATAAAAGGTTAGGAAAGTAAACTGCACAAAATAAATTAAATCATAACAGTATGTATACCCTTTGACAACAGCATGAGATGGGAAATCTGTAATGCCATTGCAGTGCATGTACACCCAGCACACATTATATTTGAGGAACATGAATTATCGGCATAGTTGTTTAAATGTAAATGTGACTGTTCCAAACATACAACATAACAGTAGAAAAGACATTAGAATGGTTACCATATAAAAGAGCCTGAATATGCCCTGTCAATTGTTCAGTGGATCACCGATCAATACAAGTCATGAATTATTCATGCAACCCAGAGCACCACAGCTGTATTCTTTGTATCTTATCACTTTTCATTTTGTTATTCTGTTTAAAATATAAATACAGTCGCCTACCGTTATTACGAAATCCGCGGGACCACGGTCATTGTATCCAAAATTCATTGTAAGTGGAACGTAGTGCAATGACTTCGGTGCATTGTTGTACAATGCCATGTACAATGCATACGGACGTGTATGCATATACATGTATATGCATACATGTGAATGCGTGGTTGATGTTATATCAAAAAGATCTCTCGGTTATAATTAATCAAATATATTGTGATGTGTTTAGAATAATAAAATTCACTGTCATGTGAAAACATGTTTAATGTGCACGTGAGATTAAACAAAGCAAATACATGTGAAAACATCAACCAGGGATTTTTAAAAAGCTTTAAATTGCGATGGATGACAACGAAGCTAAACGGAATACACATGTAGGCCTGTGTGAACATGCAAGAATGTGAAGACTTATCATCTGGAGCCCCCATCCATAGTCTTCCCAACACAAGTCATGTTAGATTATCATGGTTGAAACTGATTGTAAATTACCAAGTAACTCTTTCAGGGTATATGTGACCTCCAGAATAGTAAATTGTTCATTTTATCCTCTCATTGTTTCTTGATGTCAGGTTTATTCATCACAATTGTGAATACTTACGTTGTTGGTGAAACAGTCCCAAAACAGCCCTGTGTTTGTACTTGTTACAAACACTTCTATCTAGTTTCATATTTCGTTTTTCAAAAGTCTTCAAAAATTCTTTTTTTTTTTCCTGAACACGTAAACCCTATAGAATGACTGTCTTGTGGCGAGTCTAGCCCAAAAAGCAACCTCCATTGACCTTCAATTTTACAGCCAAAGTACCCTGCGGTGTTCCTGGTGCTCTGACACAACATCATCTTGATACATCTTGATGCCGAAGCAGGCCCTCTTTCTTGGGTTGTAAGTAGCAAAGTGCAGACGCCCGTAGAATGTCAGCAGGGAGTTGTCGACGGAAATGTCCCGTTGAGGAATGTAGACAGTGGCAAACTTCTGAACAAGATGGTCAACGACTGGGCGCACTTTGAAGAGGTGGTCAGTGCAGTCGTCCACCAGGGACTGCAGGATGGCAAGGAAGCAGTCTCAGGGTATGACGGAACAGAACGGGCTTATCTTCAGTAATGGGTTGGTCGACCAGTAGCTAGCTATGAAGGGTGGGGTGCTTTGTGATGCCCGTCATATGCAACATATGTATATGTATTGTGGAAATCCGGCCCAGAAGCTGAGGCAGTTGATGCACTCTCCATAAGCAGGGGTCTCTGTATTTTTATGCCTTCCCCGTCTGCCTAATTGGAAAATGCTTACAAAAGATAGTTTCAGACAAAGCCGAAGGAATTATCGCCCAAAATGGCCTTCCCAGACATGGATTCCCTAAAATGCTCAACCTGTTGATTCAGGTACCTGTTGCAATGCCAAAAATATACATTCTACTTACCCAACCTGTTTCTGGAAATTACCACCCATTACAATGGAAACTTGAACTCCTTTGTTGCAGGTTGTCCAGAAATCCATCAAAAGTATAGTAGCTCCAAAGACAGCTGCCGACATTATCCTCTCCTCTTGGAGATAGCCAACCAGGAAGCAATACAAGGATACATTGAGATGCAGGCAGATACAGTGGAAATTGTGACATTCCTGACTACTTTTTTGAACGAGGACTAGGCTACAACTCGCTTAATGTTGCACAAAGTGCTCTTTCATCCTTTGCAGTATTACGGGGGGGAGGGTGCAACAGTTGGTTCACACCCCCTTATTGTCAGATTCCTGAAAAGGGCCTTTACCCGGAGACCTCCAGCCCCAAGGTACACTTTGCTCTGGGATGTGGAAACTGTGTTTGACTATTTGCGCAAACTGTCTTCTGCCTATGTACTGTTACTTAAGGAACTGACATGAAAACTTGTCACGCTTCTAACATTGATTACAGCACAGAGAACGCAGATGTTACACAAACTACACCTCGACAAAATGCAGTTGAAAGCCAGCTCTGTCATCTTCACCATCAGCAATCTGCTCAATCAAAGTAAACCAGGGAACACTGGAATGATCATCAAACTTAAAGCTTACCCCTCGGACAGAGGCCTATGTGCATACACCTACCTTAAACACTACATGGCACGAACCAGTTTGCTCAGGAATCGGGGTAAAAGCAAAAAAAACAGCTTCTAATCAGTTACAGGCTCCCACATGGTGCTGTCAGTAAGGACTGTTGCTAGATGGATCAACATAGTGTTGCATCAAGCAGGTGTGGACACTTCATGCTTCAAGGCTCACTCTATGCAAACAGCTGCCGCATCCATTGCAAACAGAGTGGGAGTCCTTATCCCTGATGTCCTTCGGACTGCAGGATGGTCTTCAGAGACCACCTTTCAGAAGTGCTATAACAAACCACTTGGTGCATCTTAAGAAATGGGACATGCCTTGCTTAACAGCTGTGAAATGACTCACATGGAACGCCCACGCGTAGTTTCATCCACATTTTGTTATTGGCCTAATGTTCTTCATATGTTGGCAGTCCCTAGGGTAATTCATGAGCATAACCATGGTTCATTGCTGATGATGTATGTCATAACCATTGGCGAGGTGGCAAATATTGGCCCCTTTAGCTTCATCAAATACTGGACGTGTATTTTGTGATTCCAGTTATCTTGTAACCCAGCATGTACTATATTTGTTCATGTCTTATCTCGGACTAGCTTGATTGATACCAGTATATATTACAGAAGGCAATGCTTAAAATACAAGTGTTTTAGTTGGCAGCGAATGCCAAACAAGTATACGGTGACCAAGGCTTGACCGGAGCCCGGATAGGTAGTTAACCACTTCCTGTTGGGGATTCCGGATCCGGACACGTATGCTTTATATGCATGGCCGCGGTCTCCAAACTCTAACAAAGGGAACAGGGCCTAGTAACAAAAGACTGTACTCAGAACAAAAGACCAGGCTGCTGGAAATTACCGACATTTTTTCACTCTCAAAAGTGGAGATTTGGGGCATTTAGAGCAAGCGGATTACCACCAGGGACAAAAGCACTCCACCACCGCAGCAATGAGCCACACAGCACCGCTGCATGCTAATCTGGCCCCCAATGAAAAGAGGTTAGCAGCACACTGAGCCAGGTTTGTGAACAAAAGAAAGTTATATAACACCGCACAATCTGGGCTCTTTTTACAAGGCGGCAGGGCCTGAAATACTCAGGCATCAATAGATTTTGTCTGTCGGCTAGCGTTGACACAAGACAGTCCTTCACAAGGAATAGTGCATACCAAACATACAGCCTATCATGTCTATTCACCATGCAGCTGCTGGTTCAATGGGACCTGCTGCTGGACAGAGCTTGCATACTGGGCATACCACAGCCCAGCAGTCGCGGTAAAAATAATCCCACCGTGAAGGGGTTAAAGACAGTTGTCATCAATGTTTAGTGCAAGTTAATGAAGAAGCTACATTTACTTTCAAGCTTGACATTTTAGAAAAGCTGTATTTTTTCTAACAGTTTGGTACAGATGAAAACCTCATGTTGGGGTTTAATGGCTGTATCAAAACACTAATGTACCACAAAATCACATGAACTTGGCTTTGTGAAGTGTTTTCTTATATCAAAGTTAGTTAACGTTCTGGAAAAATCTCCCTACACAGACTCCATACTGGATATGCGGCGAGATGCCTTTCAACATCTGACGGAATCTCTCGTGAGACTTCGAAATAAAATGAAGGAATTAAATGAGAACATACCTGTTTGAAATTTAATCCCAATTTTATGAGAAAGGGAGAGTGAGAGATTATGTGCCCTCCTCTCCCGCCCTATTTCCCTACCATTTCTCATTGATCTCTTCAGTGGTAACTGGGATAAGGTTTTTCATCTGACCTTATATCCTGGTTTTCAAATATGACTGCATATGCGCATGGCTGAAATCCCACGTAATCTCTCACTCGCCCTTTCTCATAGAATTGGATTAAATTTCAAACATGTAAGTTTTCATTTAATCCCTTCATTTTTGACTGTTCCTCTTCAAATTTGCCACAGATAACCTTGACCCAAAAATGTCTCTGAAACTGTTTTTCAGAGAGGGGAAAACATTGTGTGGACGTGTGCAAGTCCACACAATGCCATCACACCCTACATTATAATTTATATGGACTTCTTTCCTGCAGAGGTCCACACTACATATGCCACACCTGCACACACATGGAAGGAAAGGCAGAAACAGTGTGTCCCTTCAACTTTGTCAGGGTGGGGCATGAAAAAACAAGACAATTTAGCCAAAAATATATACATCAAATTACTGATAGTTCAGTCTTAAATATTACAGGGAAAATAATATTCAACATTACAACACATCTTTATCAAATACGTTACAGTTTCTTCCTATCTGATATCAATGGAGCCCAGAAACCCAAGTATCATGGTTGGCAAAGATGGCTATTAACCACTACCAGCCGGGGACTCCGAAATCGGAGCCGTATGGTTTATATGTGTGGCCGGGGTCTCTGAACTCGGACAAAGGAAACAG